CAGTCAACATATTTGGCCTTTCGTCTTCCGCTACTTACTCTATTATTTACTGCGCAACTTTGTCGGCGGTTCATCATTCGTCCCACCGAGTTGTTTGGATTAATTAACCTTGTAACAACAGTAGTAATCTCTCAGGTAAATTAATCTCTGTATTCCCGTGTTGTTATCTGATAAACCCTGGTGCGCTCTATCTTTCTCCCAGAGCGTAAAACCTTTCCTTTTCTAAATTCTTAATGGACATTTTCCTCCTCACATAGTCTACCATACTATTTTTATTTTTACCTGGCTATTTTTTGTCTTTTTCTACTTTACTTATTTATAATCTTTTTTAACAGCTCCACCACTCTCTTTATACTTACAAAATAATATTCATACGAAATGGCTATGGACTTGAGGGTGGGAAATAAATACCGGATAGGAAGAAAGATCGGCTCTGGCTCTTTTGGCGACATTTATCTCGGTATGTTACAAGTAATAATAATAGTAATAGTAATAATATAAATTAATATAATAAAATAATGGTAATATAAAATAATATAATAGCAATAAAATAGTAATAACGATAATAAAAATCTGGTTTATTTTTGTTTTATCTATTATATTACAATTTACGATTTACTAAAGTTCTCAATTGTTCATGTTGACTTAATGTTTTAGGTACAAACATTATTAATAATGAAGAAGTTGCCATCAAACTTGAATCTACGAAAGCTAAACATCCACAATTAGAATATGAAGCAAAGGTTTATAAAACACTGGCCGGTGGTGTGGGTATCCCGTTCGTCCGCTGGTACGGTACTGAATGCGATTATAACGCAATGGTAATCGATTTATTGGGTCCATCTTTGGAGGATTTATTCAATTTCTGTAATCGTAAATTTTCCTTGAAAACGGTACTACTGTTGGCCGATCAATTGGTATGATACTATTAGAATTTCCATATTTGTCATTTATATATCCTAATTAACTAATTAATTAATTATCAACTTACAATTCTTTTATTTTATATTTACTTATTTTTTCGTTCTTTTAATTTATTTTATTATCAATCTATTAGATTTCTCGAATTGAGTACATTCACTCCAAAAACTTTATTCATCGAGATATTAAACCAGATAACTTTTTGATGGGGATTGGTAAACGCGGTAATCAAGTCAATGTTATCGATTTCGGTTTAGCAAAAAAATACCGCGATCCAAAGACACACTTACACATCCCTT